GGTCTCTCGAGGCTATGAACACGCCGTCTTCCCAGTATGGTCAACTTCTGCTGCCTGTAATGAAGGAGAAGATTCCTGAGGAGTGGCGCCTACAATGGGCGAGGACCCGGTTCCTTGGTGCTGACGCATCAGGAACCGAGTTTGAGTGTTTCATCAAATATCTTCAGGACGAGCTGAGAATCCGAGAAGATGCCTCACACGTGACCTGTGCTAGGGCAAAGCCGAGAAACACAGAAGCCGGTCCCGTGACGTCTCAAAGGTCAGTCTCCAGCATCTTAAGCTCACAACGAGCTAAGACTCAAGCCAAGCCCCAAGAGCCTAAGTGGCTTTGCACGGCGTGCGGCCAAGGGCAACATGGCCTGTCCAGATGTGAGCGGTACCATCAGATGACCGTGCACGATCGCTGGGAGGTGGTAAGGAGGGCTGGACTCTGCTTCCAGTGTCTCGGGCCGCACCTCGTCCGACAGTGTCGCAGTGGAAGCTGTCGCAGCTGCGGCCAGAGCCACCATTCCTCTTTGCATCTTCCAGCAAGAGGCCATCCCCACAGCAAGGCATCTGATATGTCTCCTCACGCCAATCCCTTCGTCCCGAAGGAGCCTTCCATGGACCAATCGAAGTCCGACAACGGCCCGTCCCAGCCAAGGGAAAATGTGGCGAACCGGAACGACACAGCATCCAGGCACCGCTACAGCGCCACCTCGCAGCGAAGCACCAGCTTCTACCAAACCGCCTTGGCTGAAGCCGAGGGCCGGTCCGGCTGGCGTCAGGTGCGAATACTACTAGACGGAGGTTCCGATACTTCCTACATTCGGACCAATCTAGCCCAGGAGCTGGGACTACCGGCTATTCGAACCGATATATTCGCATGTGTCGGTTTTCAGGAGAAGCTGGAGGAAGCACGAGAATACAGTCAAGTGGAGATCAACCTGCGCAGCCGATTCGACGGAGGGTCTCGAAGAATCAAGGCCTACAGCACTGACAAGCTGTGTGCAGAGCTTCCGGCGAACGACAGGACCCCAGACCGGTCTCAGCTTCCGGAAAACATGGCCGACGACTTCCAAGGTGGACCGGTTGACATCTTAATCGGTGTCGACCACCTCTACGATATCGTCCTGTGGGAACAGATGGAGATCGACGACCGTCTGCGCGCTGTGGAAACAGTGTTCGGATACGTTCTGCATGGGCGCCACGACAGCAACTCCGGTGAACCAGCTCTGCGCTGCAGCTATCACTCTCACAGCGTAGTGAGAATGTGGGACCTGGACACCGTAGGCATTGTTCCTGAAGCAGAAGAAAAGAGGTCTGACACCAAGTTCCCTCTTCCGGAATGGAATGAAAAAGAGAACCGATATGAGATGGGTCTCGCTTGGGTATCAGACCAAAGGCCCGTGTCCAACTATCAATCTGCTAAAGCTCGAACCCAACGCATGGAAAGAGCGTTGACAGAAGAAAAAGCCGAGAAGTATGGAGCAAAATTATCCGAGATGAAAGAGAATGCTGTGATAGAATCGGCCGCTGACCAAGGGAAGACAAGCCTCAGTGAGGAGACGACTTATCCGCAAGGTGGGGAGCCATCATCTCGCGCCTCACCGAGACCGGACCTGGGTGGAGTCAAGCAGGACGGTGACGGCTGTGGGTTGAAACCCCCGACCTCATCGAACTGTTCCTCCCTCCCGTCTGATGGCAAACCAGGACCAACACCTCATCAGCGACCGGAGACGGATGCCTTCTACCTACCCCACAGAGGACTCTTTCGCGATGAGAAGCTCCGCATCGTTTTTGATGGTTCCGCTAAAGATGGCGCTGGGCGGAGCCTGAATGACTATCTCCATGCAGGAGATAACCTCCTCAAGAAGTTACCGGCGGTCGTGTTAAACTTCCGTAGAGACGCCATTGGGTGCCAGACGGACATAAAGGCTGCTTTTCACCAAGTGGCTGTGAAACCAAGCGACCGCAAGTACCTGCAGTTCCTCTGGAGAGAACAGATACTGAGATTTGCGAGGGTCCCCTTCGGAATCTCATGCTCACCGTACATGCTACTCAAGACCATCGAAATACATTTGGACGGATATACCGCCACTGATCGAGAACTGTGTCAGAAGATTCGATCCGGTATCTACATGGACGACATATGCACCTCGTTCCCCACACGAGATGAAGCCAAGGCAGCCATGGAGCGATTGTCCGAGGTTTTTGCCGAGGCGAACATGCAGCTACACAAGTCTCGACAAACGGGAGACGCCGCGCCCGCTGAAAAGGTCCTCGGGATGATCTGGCGGACCGAAGAAGACCAACTCGCTGTCTGCATACCAAAAACTGATTGTCCGACATCGAAGCGAGAGCTGCTGTCCAACATATCCAAGACCTTCGATCCGCTTGGCGTCCTATCGCCGTGGCTGATAGGAGGTAAGGTGCAGTTCCAGAGAACATGGAAGATCCCCGAGCTCGGTTGGGATGACACCCTACCTGACGACCTGCAAAGAGAAGTGAGAATCTGGTGGGAAGACGCCCACCTCCACAGCAGGTGGTTTCCGCGATCTCTCGCAGTCAGTGAGAGTGCTGAAGGCGATGAGTGCACATTCCACGTGTTCTGTGACGCATCGCAGCTGGCTTACTGCGCTGCAGTGTACCTGTTGAAGAGAGGTGAGTCACGACTCGTCATGGCCAAGAGCAGGTTAGCTCCCATGGAAGCGAATCTCACCATTCCAAGAATGGAGCTGATGGCCGCCCTCATCGGAACCCGCCTGATGAAATTCATTCAGGATGCCCTGCAGCTCCAACAGCCGCGAGTCGTCTTCTGGACCGACTCTATGGATGTGTTGTACTGGTTGTGGAACAACAAACCTCGGAAAACGTTCGTTGACAATCGCGTCTCCTCCATCCTGGAGTCGACGAACCGAGATCAGTGGCGTCACGTGAGAGGGACGGACAACCCCGCCGACCTGGGAACACGTGGTCTGACTATCGCCGCGCTCTCCAGCTGTGACAAGTGGTGGGAAGGACCCACTCACCTCATGATCCAATCGCACGGGCTGCAGCCCAGCGAGATCGACGAGCCATCAGACGAAGCCAAGAAGGAGACTCGAGCCGAGAACAGGGTACGAGTCACTACAGTTACTACTACTGCTCCAACAGCTGAACAGAAAACCCAAGTTCTCTTCGACTTCAAAAGCTGTTCACGCCTGAAGCAGTTGGTCGAAAGAACAGCCTGGGTGAAACGTTTCGTGCACAACATTCGAAACAAGGACCACCGGATAAGCGGTATGCTAACCGCAGAAGAACGCCGGGAGGCTCTCAACTTCTGGATCCGAGACGCTCAAGAGCAATTCCACGCCGTGGAACTGCAATGTGTGAAAAGAGGCGACATGGTCCCCGCTGGTTCACCTCTGACAAAGCTGCGACCACAACTGAGCGAGGATGGCCTCCTGTGCGCCATTCCCAGGACCAACGAGCCGCCTCTGACCATTCTGCCCGGAGCCTCTCACATTACCAACTTGATAGTGACAGAGGCTCATCAGCGATGCTTCCATCAGGGCACGAGAGCTACGCTGGCCCAGGTCTCTGCGGACTACATGATCCGCCGGAGAAGTGTCAAGCAAATCGTCAACTCCTGCAGGAGGTGTCGACGGTACACAGGCACCCGGTACCACTCTGTGGACGGAAAGCTGCCAGCCTTCCGCACCGAACCCAGTCGGCCGTTCTCTAAAGTCGGAATCGACTTTTTCGGTCCCCTGTATGCAGTGTGGCCAAATTGGTGATGTTGCGGGGAAAGTCACCCCCAATGAAAAGTATAATGACATCCTCAGAAATTTTAAAATTACATCATCACGACGTTTTTGTCGTGAAAGCATACATAGTGTAGGAAAAAAGACTAAAAATGTTGCAATGTACGATTCGCACCGTCATACTCGTACTGTCGCGCTTACAATGCCGTGTTTTTACATCTTTAATTACAATATTTGGAGTTTTTTTATTACTTTCCACCAGAACTTGACGTCAGGTATAGTTTTTTTCCACATTATCTGTAAAAACTGCACCTAAAATGAGGCTGAAGACTAGTTTTTGGAAAATAGTGACATCCTCGTACGACTTTTTTATACATCCTCCCCCTAACGCTAAACCAATTTGGTTACACTGCCTGTATGTCGATGGCAGTCAGAAGGTCTGGGTACTCCTGATCACTGCGCCACCAGCAGAGCCGTACATCTGGAGCTGGTCAAATCGCAAGGCGTGGATGATGTGAAACGGGCCTTGAGGAGATTCTTCGCCCTGAGATCTACGCCAGAGCTGATATACAGCGACAACGCCCGCACTTTCCATGCCTTGGTTCCTCACCTTCCACCCAGCGTGAAGTGGAAGTTCATCCCCGAAGCCGCGCCCTGGTGGGGAGGGTTTTGGGAACGACTGGTGGGGATCACCAAACGCTGCCTGAAGATTACCTTACACCAATGTCACCTCTCCTTTGACGAGTTAGCCGTAACCTTGTATGAGCTGGGTTTCTATCTCAACCTTCGCCCACTCACCTCCAGTGACGAGGAGCCTCTGACACCCGCCCATCTCCTGTTCGGCGTGACCTCTGTCCGGGGTGTAGTATCCTATTCAGGGGACCACATAGACCCGATCGACAGAGCATGGCGGCACCGCCGCCGCGTGGGTGATCATCTGATCCGGAGATGGATACGAGAGTACGTGGCAGCTTTAAGAGGCTGGTCCGTATCACCCCGCGGACGTCCTACCAGAATCCCTGCGGTAGGTGATGTCGTTCTTGTCCACGGTGAGGGACCACGCAGCCGGTGGCCTATGGCCCGAGTGGACGAGCTCATCGCCGGCTCAGACGGGCACTGTCGAGCTGCAGTCGTATACATGCGCGGGAAGCGTACTCGTCGACCCATCAACAAGCTCTTCCAGCTGGAAGCTGCTCAATGATGGAAAGTGTGTGCCCCTCCGTCCCCCTGCACGCCCACGCCACATTCCGACGTGTCTTGTCTGTATGTTTGCAGATCATCACCATCATGGAGATCGACCTTGCTCTGGATGAGGCAGTGGACTGGTTCGCGGAACACGGGCCCAGAGGTCGGTCTGAAGACCGCCAGCACCCGGACCCGGACCAGCTGCCAAAGCTCCATCTACTATTGGGTGATTCCATAGCAAAGGCCTCGAGACTCACCCCTCGCGACCCCGGAGATCGGATCCTCAACCGAGCACGCGGAGGCGAGACGTGGCGGTCTCTGAGCCGCTATATGGAGGAGGACGTGCGGGTATGGCAAGACACCATGGAGGCGGAGGAGCGGGCGCCGGGACACATCATCATCTGGTGCTCCGGCAACGATGTATACCACCGGCAAAGCCCTCTGGTGATCACCAGCCACCTGCTCGACCGGGTGGCTGCACTCGCGACGTCAGTGGTTGGCAGACTGGAGCCGCATGCCGAGAAGGTGTACGTCCTCGGACCACTACCTCGACTGCTGGGCGCGGACCGCGGAGCAAAGTGGGAGCGGACTGCTGCGTTTCACCTGGAAAGAAGGCTGATAAACACCCGACTTGGCGACTCCTGTGAGATGATCCGTCTGAGACGTTCCCTCACTAAGAAGATGACGAAGAACACGCGCACGGTAGCGGATGCGGGCTACCACCGCACCGACGGGGTGCACCTGTCGCCAGCCGGGTATGAGAGGATCGGAGCATGTGGAGCATTCCCCGGGTGGCTGCGCATCTAAGCTGTGATTGTGTTATTGTTAAAAAAGTGCCCCATGGGCACTTTTTGGTGGGGAGAAATGTTAAATTTATGTGTTTCCTCCTTTATTTTACCTTACCTCTGAACCTTGACTGCACCCCCTCTCCACCTCTGCCTCCCCACCGCGCTGTCCGCCGGCCGCTCGCCGTGCGCCGCCGGGCGGCGCGCGTAGCTGTGCCCCCACCGGCCGGCGCTCGTTGGCTCCGCCGCGCGGCGGCGGCGGTCGGCCGCGGGTGCACCGAGCGGTGAACCGCGGGTGACCGGCGCCCGGGGCGCCGGCCCGAGCCGACCGTAGCCGCGGCGTCAGAGGGGAGGGCAGTGCGCGTCAAGCACAGGTCAGGTACGGTTCGGGCTGAAGCCTCCCGTGTCCCTTCTGCTGGCGCCGCTCGGCGAGCTTGGGGTGGAAACCCACTCGTCCCCCTCCACCTCACCCTACCCTGGCCGTCCTTTATCAAACTATCCCTATCGCTTCCTAACCTGCTATTCCTTGTTTACCCACGCTAACCTGCCTTTTTTCTCGAGACCATCCCTACCTATTATCACCTGGATTTAACGTTAAGAGAGGGGTTTCTGGATACCGTTTGTATGTAATAAGTCGTACCTGTTGTGTCGTCCAGCGCCTTTGACCAGCAATAAACCTGAGTAAGGTGAACTCCAATTCTTTGTGGGATTCTGACTAAATCTGAGTAGTTTTTTTTTTTAAATAACACTTCTTGCGATTTACACTCGAACATCATACAGTCCACTTCGCTATTTTTTTAGCCCCAGACTCCACAATAAGGGTGATTAAGGGTGGCCAATAAGTGTGTTTTTAAACAAAAAATTTGAAAACAACTGAGCAGCCGCCTGACAGAAGGTTCTGCCATTGCCAGATGTCGGAAGACGGTCAGGCGTTCTCCTGGTTCACCATGGCCAACAAGACCCTGGGCACGTACGGGGCGGCGTTGGTCGTGGTGACCAAGACTGTCCAGGAGGCGCTGACCTACTTTGTCCAGCACCTCCGGCATCTCATTGTCACTGAGCTGCCCAAAAAACGGTAAGCTATTTGTGTAGTTTCTGTATGTATTTCCACACGGTCGCTCACCCACCACGGGCTATCGCCGACCTCACACTGCCGCGGCCCGCGGCTCCCGTCCACTGCGTGTCGCACCGCGTGTCGCCGCCGGGGAGACATATGGCCGGCACATGGGCCCGCGTCGGCCGAGTCCGACCCCAGCCCCGTCCACCCGGCCCGTGTCCGGGCCAGACCGATACAGTTACACACCCCCCTGATCTACAAGATCACAAATCCATAATCAGTACAAAAATGCACATAACATGACACAACATAACAAGGCGAATACCTAATAATACACCGGTGTTTCATAGCGCTGTGCCGGGCGACTCTCCCGCTCGGTGCGCCGCAGGGTTCGTGGTGCAACGACTCCTGTTACATCGTCATTGGAAGCATCATTAGCACGAGTGCATTCAGTGCGAGGCGTGACATCAGACATGACACTCACTACGGGGCCAGGACCAGAATCAGCATTATGTGGCTGCGCGGATACTAAAAGTGGCAGCTCATTTTCGGCACCCTCTGTGTCGTCAACCGAACAGTTATCGCTCACGTTGACGGTGCGGTGTCGCACGTTTCTAACATGATGAGGGGTGCCATCAACTACTACTATCTGTGGAGAAACTACTGAGGACACAACACCAGGGTCAGACACGTCCGTGCATCGCGTGCCACGGCGCCTGACCCACACAGCGTCACCAGGGGCGAACTCGCCCGTCCCGCGCGGCGCCGCCGGCTCCGAGCCGTCCGATCCCTCGCGGCCATTCACACGGCCGTCCGTTCCCTGGCTGCGCCCTTGACCGTCACTGTCACCGACCGGCAGCTGGCGACCAGCTGACCCGACACAGTCGCGCACTGTGTAGCGATAAATCCGACCGATGGGGGCATCACTGGCGCTGTCGCTGTCGCGGGGCGACACATTGTATAGGTGCACGGCCTCTGTGATTGAGCATTGCTTTCGAGCGGCAATAACCTTAACTGTCCGGTGATGCCGTTCAACTTTACCGTTACCGCCCGGCTCGTACGCTGCCCGGAACCGCAAAACCACGCCCCATTTCGCCGCGAACGCCGCAAAATGTCGTCCACGAAACACAGTGTCATTATCACAAAGAATCTCGCATGGCGCTCCACGTTCGCATAATATCGCTTCCAGATGCGACACAACATTTTCCGCGTCCGGCCGACGCAACTGCCGCCACAAACCGAACCGAGACGGACCGCAATCGATCACTGTCGGGTACGACTGGTGCTGGTAGTGGGTGACGTCGATGGCCAGCCGCTGCCACGTCTCCGTTACCTCCAGCGATCCGTGACGCCAGGTGACCGGTGCCGGATCGATTGAGCGGCAGACGTCACAGTGATGCACAACAGCACGCACCTGAGACCGAGTAATGGTAGGAGCGATGTCACGACGGGCGAAATACCAGGTGCGGCGAATCCCTGGGTGACCGGCGCGCTCGTGCAGCTCAGCAATAGAGGCGTCCACTGTTGCCCCGGTCGCCACCGCCCCTTCTGTGCCGGCGGCCACCGCCGCGCCGACCACCGCGGTCGCACCCGTGTCGGCGGCCACAGCCGTGCCGACTGCCGCTTCCGTGTCGGCGGCCACCGCCGTGCCGACTGCCGCTCCCGTGTCGGCGGCCACCGCCGTGCCGACTGCCGCTCCCGTGTCGGCGGCCACCGCCGTGCCGACTGCCGCGGGCCCTGATGTGTCATGCCTCAGCCACTCTTTCGGAACCCGTGTCAGGGCGTCTGCGCGATTTTCGTCTGACCTGACCAGGGTCACTGTCAGCACGAGACCCATTTCGTCTACCAGCTGGCGAATAAGGTCGACACGCCGCCGGATTAACCCTCGCACGACCAGGCCATTTCTCATAACACGAACGACCAGGGGGGGGTTGTTACGACCCCCCCCCCTGGCGTTTCGAAACGGAAGGTCGTAGAGCTTAGCGGAAAAAACCAACGGATTGCTCTCAACGAGATCTCGCGATTGGTGGTATATTTTTTGGTCCTAGGTCAACATTTGACCTACTTATGACCGGTCAAAGGTCAAATTTTCGGAAAAATAGACTTTTTTCAACTTTCCGCGGCGATTGCGGCAAAACGGTGGGAGATATCGACTTGACACCTTCACTATCGTGTTCCTTGATCAATTCTCTATCGTTTGGTATGTATTTCGTTTCCCTAGCTCTAAAAATGCCGCGTTGGGAGCGCCGAAAGTCGGCAAGGTCACAGTCGGCGGCAGAAATTCGAAAAATCAAAATTCAAATTTTTGAAATCTGATTGTATTTTTGGATTTGTGAGGTCCATTTGCTCCCTATAGAAGCTAATATTGCTGCATATTCCCATTGAGGTGACAAGAATTAGCAAAATAGTGGTTCGGGCGCTTTTCAAAAATAGTACCGGACGCTGTTCCTCTTGTGACGTCATAGCTCCGTGACCTGACCTGACCCGGTCAATTTTTCTTGCACGACACGATAGCCAATGCTTGCCCCAACATGCATGGGAAGTTTCATCATGATCCATCAAACAATGTGGGTATCACCGGCAGAAAACCTAGGGATTCGGCGCACACGTTTGGTAACTGTCGGCCGGAGGCTGTACCTCTTATGACGTCATAACTCCGTGACCTGACATGACCCGATCAATTTTTTTTCGGCAAAAGATGCGCAAAGGTTGCCCCAGAGGGTATTGAAAATTTCAGCCCGCTACGACAAGCCGTTTAGCGTGCACTTCGAAAAAACCTCAGGGGGGGGTTGATACAACCCCCCCCCCCCTAGGCGTTCTAGGGTTAACATCTCGCCGTGTGCCTTAGTGCGGAGCCGGGCTCGCCCACTCAGAGCGTCGTCAATCCAGCGGTGGACGGTGGCGGAGTCAGTCCTCAGCTCGATGGTTTGCATTCCCCAAGCGATGGCAAGATTTATGCCCTTCACAGCGGCATCCAGTTCAGCCATGTTTATGTGCGTAGAAGCAGCAGCTTCACGCCTCAGCCAGCAGGCATCCTCCACAGGGCCACCGTCTGCGGTCTCCAAAACAACGCCTGCGGCCAGCGAGCTGGCATCCGTCCACACCACGGCCGCGTCACCTGAGACACACCACACGCCGTGCGCCGGATCGTCACCGTTCACCCGTTCAGCCACATGATCGACCTGCGCCTGCAGCGTACGGTCCCCTGTCATGTCGTCCCAGCCGCGTGTCACAGCATTAGCACGGCGTTTAAGCCAGGCTATAGCGGGACGCAGCCACCCACAGACCGGGAGGGGGGCCACCAGGCGACCGCACCACGCAAACACACTGCGGCGGGTCAGCGGGCTGGGCGGGGGGCCGACAGGGTTGTCTCGCACCCAGTGCAGCTCGTCACGCAGTGGGCGAACTCGCAGTCCGAGCAGCCGCGCACCATCAGACACACGCTCAGGGGCCTTGCACTCGAGTCCATACCTGGCGAAATGACTGACAACCCGCTCCGCGCTCGCAATGTCCTCATCTACCAGCAAGTCATCCACATATGAGAGCACTGCACGCTGGATTTCAGGGTCCTGTGCCAGCACAGCACTGACGACCGCCTTCATGACTAGCGGCCCTAGGCTGAGTCCAAAACCTAGCCTCCCCAGATAGAAACGCTGCCCACGAATCTCAACCGTTTGATACGGCCATAGACTTTCGTCGAGATGGATCTGAAGGTACGCCTTTTTGAGGTCAACGACCGCCACGTTTCTGCCGTGACGCCGCCACTTCCTCAGCTGATCGGCGCAGACATCTGCATCAGCGGTGTGGGCGTTTAGGTGGCTGTTTAACTCCCGATAGTCCAGCACTGGCCTCACTTTCTCCTTATTCTTCTGTTGTACAGCCATCAGCGGCACGAGCCCTCGCGGTGGGCCGAGCCGCTGCTCGTCGTATGGCAGCAGCCAGCCGTTGCTGATCCATGTGTCCAGCTCCGTGTCAAATTCGTAGCGGGCGGACCGTGGCACGGAGTACTGGGGCACAGAGTTTTCCAGGCACTCAGGGCCAGAGTTGTCCGCCCACTTCCAAGCCACAGTCCACTTTCGCTCTGCCGAGTCGAACCGTACACTAAAGTCCGGCGCGTCAACTTCGAGTGGTGCACGGGCAGCGGCTCCGCAGAAGCGGACTTGAGACGGTGACTGCACACTGACACCCCCCAGGCTAGAGATGCCAGACATGCCGATAATTAGTTCCACTCCCAGGGGCCGCTCGCTCACCACCAGCACACTCACTCGGGCCCGCTGCCCGGTCACAGTCACCACGCCAGCACTGCCCGAGCCAGTGCATTGAAACTCGTCACCGCTCATCGTCGTCACCGAGACAGGTCCACACTGCCATTGTTCGCAGAACGGTGCATAAATGATGTTTTCGGTGCAGCCGGTGTCGATTAGCGCTCGACAGTCTCGCCCGTTGACTCGCAGTTGCACGACTGGCAGAGCGCCGCTCAGTGCTGCACGCGAGAGGACGCCGGCGCTGACTCGTCCTCTCCTCCGTCGTTTCCCGCAGCTTGGCGGGGGCATGAGAAGGACATATGGCCTATATCA